GACCATATGTAGAAATCCCCATGTTATAAAAGACTATTTATAGAATTTACTATATATATATATATATATATATATATATATATATATATATACTAGCAATGGCACGTGCGTTGCACGAGATGTTGTGCCCGAAATTAGCTTTGTCGTTGGACGTGTTACTATTACATTTTTGGCATTGCCTTTTCCATTTCTCAATCATATGTCAAGCATATTTATTTTTCTATTTAGTTTTGTTTTCACGGTATTATATCGCTAATAATTGTTAATTTTTTTATTTTGTAGCTTTATCTATTTGGTTTATATATGCAGCTACATTTGTGGCATTCCCTTTTCCATTTGCAATCATAACTCACACATGATTCTATATATCTATATTTGATTTTTTTTAGTGATTATCTATCACGAATACCACTATAATATCAAGATTGTATCATTCATAATTACATACAATTGAACTCCTTTCTAGATTTAGTGAAAAAAGAATTTTTTCGTATGAATAGGGATGAAAATAGTGTTTGTGATAAGAGATTTTTCTAGAGAATTTTCCATATTAATCTTTCTAATTTTCATGTTTAAACATTTTTGTAAGGACATTTTGGACAAATCTATTAGAAATTATTCTCTTTCAAATTTTTTTAAAAATGAAAAAAAAGTCAAAGTGAAAAGATTAAATTCAAACAGAGGATGTTATAAGTGGCATAATTCAAGATAGTCATCTCACAATTAGATAATGAAAGAAAAATTTTGGACAAATCTATTAGAAATTATTCTCTTTCAAATATTTTTAAAAATAAAAAAAATTCAAAGTGAAAAGATTAAATTCAAACAGAGGATGTTATAAGTGGCATAATTCAAGATAGTCATCTCACAATTAGATAATGAAAGAAAAATTTTAAAGAGCTAAATTTATTTTCTTGAGAATTGGTGTGTGTCTAATACTATGACACTAAATGGCATTTATTGGGAATATAAGTGGATGGAGAAAACTAACGGTGTATGGGTAAGGTTGGTATTAAAAAACAATGTACATGATTTAAAGCATAATGTACATATTTTTTGGATGGAAAAAGAACATCTTATTAAGGGGTACCAAACCCTCTTTCACATTTATATAATATAGGAGATATATATATATATATATATATATATATATATATATATATATATATATATATATATATATATATATATATATATATATATATATATATATATATATATATATATACTAGCATATTTACGCGCGTTGCGCGGATTGTAGTGCCCGATCAAGGTTTACTTAACAATAATTCTAAAAATGTTGGGAATAACATTAAGGTATATAAGACATTTAAAGTTGATCAACATGGTTGATATATTCTAAATTCATAATAACGTAATCTAATGAATGACATGATTTTTGCATGTATGGACTTTGATATCAGATTTCATACATATCCAATAATGCCCATGTAGGCATGATGGGTTTTTTTTAGTTTGAATTGTATACCCATGCATATTAACAAAACATTGTATAAAATTAAAGTATTAGAGTGAATAATGTTAGCATAGTGTAGTTTCAAATTTTACATCTTTTTCTAATTCCAACAATGAAGTAGTGTGTTTTCAGTTGTATGCTTTGTGGAAGATTAAACGTTTTGAAATAATCATTGAACCATGAGCATAATGTTTGAAGACCAAAAATGTAGTTTTAAATTAGATACTACCAAGTATGACTTGATAATACAAAAAATGCAATGTTTAAAAGTATAATGAGTTTTTTAAGACAAGAATTTATACAATGAAAAACAAAATTATATGTGACTTATTAATTTTCTAGTCTATATTTTTTAACCAGTCATTATAAGTAAATTATGTCTCTAATAATGATGTTCTAATGTTGTTCTTTTCAACAACATTAGAATGAACATTCTAATGCTCTAATGTTTGTTATATGAAAAATGAGAATCCTTTAAAGAATTTTCATTTTTCATATAACAAATTAAAACTTCTCATGTCCCATTTTAATTTTTAAGATAATTCATCTATGGATAAATTTTAATTCCCTACGTCTCAATTCTTGACTCGTACCTATAATTTTTATGAGAAATATATAGATAAAAAACAATCTAGATTTATGGTAACCTCAAAAAAACTAATTAAAATGAAGTTAAATGACAACACTTTTGCTTAATGAAATTATTTCATTCTTTATAGCCTAGTTAGTTAATACGCATATAATACACGTATTATATATACTTACGTACGTATAATACGCATATTATATTTACGTATCCGTACGTTTTTTAAGAATACTTTAAAATACACGAATATTTGATACTATACGTATGAATTGAATACTCCATTATAATTTTTTTGTACAATAATAAATATTGATTTGTTTCAAAAATATTTAAACAAATTACAAGTAATATATATTCCCTCCTTCCCATTTTACATTGCCTGTATTGAACTTGGGGCATATTTTAGGAAGTGAAAAAATATTGTTGATTTTCCAAAAATGTCCTTACTTTTTTAGGGGGGTGACAAGAATGAGAAGACAACGTGGAGAGAAGTCACTTATTTTAGAGATAGTTTAGTTGTTTTACTCTTAAAAGTTTACAATAATAAGAAACAAACAACTTATTTTAGGAAGAACAAAAAAGGAAAAAAGGCAATTTAAAATGGGACAAGGGAGTACTATCTACATTCTACAAAGAATTTTACACGTACTCTTTTGTCACTTTCAAAAAAAAAGACTTCACTCTTTCTCTTTTTGTATGTCTCAAAATTTCATTTTATTTTTAGAAAAGAGAAAGTAACTCACAACTCTTATTTGTTTTTCCTAAATGTATTCAAACTATAAAGTTTTTATTTTTAATTTTTTTAAAACTACGTACGTGAAAGTTAAATAAGGATATTTTTTCAAATGAGGAGAGTATATATATTTTTCAAATAGATATGTTAAATAAATAGAAATTCTAATTTGAAAAAATCTATTGTAAATATTTCATTTAAAACTTTTTTGTATTTTTATATGACTATCAATCGATAAATATGTGTAAATTTGACGTATGTATATATGATAATATATATATATATACATATAATAAGACGTATTTTAAAAATAGAAAACATTTGAAATGCGTACGTATCTGTATGTCGAACATTTAATATGCATAGTAAGGCGTATTTTATAAAATCCTAACATATTATACACAAACATATGTATTTATGTATTATACGTTTGCCGTATATTACTAACTATGCTTTATACGGAGTAGAACACTTCTCCCTAAATAAAAGCTCCATACGTCCCAATTTGATTAGTAAACTCATTCTTTGAGGAAAAAACTCTCTACGTCCCAAGTTTTTAGTTGTACATAGTATTTTTTTAAAAAATTAATTATTTTTAATAATGGAAAACCAACCGATATATCTGGCAATCATAAAAACACTAAATAATTTTAAAGTCAACTCAAATGAAAACACTTTTTCCTAAGTGAAAAGGTTTCATTCTTATGAAATTATTTTAAAATTTATAGTGTTAAAAAACTAAAAAATCATGAAAATTGAATACGTGGTAAATGAAAGTCATTTTGAATAATTTTAATTTATCATTTGACAAATAAAGACTCCCTGCGTCCCAAATTAATTTGTAAACGAATAATAATTTTGTTTCACCAATTTATTTATGAATTGATTTAAATGAACTTATGTGAAAATATTCTCCCTAAACGATAATATTTAATTCTCATATAGCATTAAAAAACCCAAAAAAATTGAGAACTGAGCGCATGGGAAATACAAGTTAATTTGAAAGATTTTCGTCTTTCATATAAAAAATAATATTACCTTCTTCCCAATTTAATTTGTAAATTTAATCTTTAATGGAAAAATTAAACTCACTATGTTCCAATTTTTGAGTTGTACCTATAATTTTATTTAAAAAAAACCTTATGTACTGTGAGTAGTGAACAAACAACCAAGAATATAATTATGGCAATCGAAAAAAGACTATAGTTTTTAGAAAAAACATAAATGAAAATACTTCTCGCTATATAAAATCAATTCATTTTCATGAAACACTTTGGCCTAAATAAAAACTCTCTACATCCCAATTTATTGTAAACTCATTCTTCTAGTGACAAATTAAAACTCTCTACGGCCTAGTTTTTTGAGAATCCAAAAAACCCTATTTTTTCAAAATCAACATAAATGAAAATACTTCTACCCAAATGAAAACATAACATTCCATTCTTATAAAATTATTTTGAAAATTAAATTGTAAAACCAAAAATAATTAGAATTGAGCACATGGTAAATGAAAGTCATTTTGAATCATTTGACAAATAAGAGTCCCCACATCCCAAAAATAATATATAAAAGTATTGATAATTTTGTTCAACCATACTGAAATTTTTTGATTGAAAGATATTGCATTCAAAAACTGATGAACTAAATTATAAAAACCAAAAGAATGTTGTTCGAATTATTTTGTAATTAGCAATAGAATGGTCTTCCAAATTCTTGAGTTGTACCTAATAAATTGAAAAAAATACCTACATAATTCTTATGCCATACACACACACGCACAGAAAATATATTTTATTAGAATTTAATAATGAAAAATCCCACATTCTTCAAAGAAAACTCTCAACATTGTAGATAACAAAAAAACTTAAAAGCATTTAATCAATATCAATTATAAAGTAATTAATAGCAATTTGGAAATATAAATGTGACTTGAATTCACAATTAAACATTTTAGTAACGGTGTAATGGCAATGTTGGAAATAAAAAATAGTGTACAACATCCAAAGCATAATGTACAACTATTTTGGATGGAAAAAGTGCATAAAATTAAGGGGTACCTAACTCTCTTTCTCATATATATATATATATATATATATATATATATATATACACACACACACACACATATATATATATATATATATATATATTGGTTCTGGTGAGAATGCAATCTTAGGAGAGAAATGAGAATGAATCTGGTGCTTTAGATTGTGAGATCTAAGGGTCAAGATTTCATCAAAATTAGATGCACCAAAATGGTGCGAAAATGCATCACGTTGAAATGCACCATAAACCTTCGAAAATGCACTATCTCAAAATCTGAGTGCAGGATGCAATCTGAGCCGCACGATGCATCAGATCCGATGACTAGATTTTATTCTTATTTCTCTCCACAAGGTGCATTCTTACAGGAACCAACCATATATATATGTGTGTGTGTGTGTGTGTGTGTGTGTGTGTNTATATATATATATATATATATATATATATATATATATATATATATATATATATATATATATATATATATATATATATATATATATATATATATATATATATATATATATATATATATGTATATATAGACACTCACACACATAATATATACACACAGCCAAGAGCTAATAAGAATCCACCTAGGAGTCCAAACAAGCTTGTAATTGAAAAAAACAAACAGAGAGCACAGAAGGCACAAATAAAGTTGATACTTACAAGCATTTCTTTGAATTCAAATCATAATAAGAGACCATGACCATGCATGCCCCACAACCACCTTCACCACAACCTAACTTTGTCCCAGTAAGACCAATATCTGCAATTATAGAGTCAAGAACATAAGAAATCAGATAACATCATTTCAAATTAAACTCCTCACTTTTCCTTCTAGTATTTCCTAAGAACTCATCCTACTTATCAAGAATCTTTCTTTGAGCTACTTCACAGGTTCTATACCTTCAAATAAATTTTGTATTTAGGGCCTTTTTCACATGTTTGACAAGCATCATAGATTATAGATTGGAACAACACTTTTCTGCATCTTCTATATGTTGGGTTTACATGGTAGATCCCACAAATAATCCTCATCCCTCCGCAAGAGCAAGCTAAAGTCCAAACCATATGGTACAAACTAATCAACACAACAAGCACAACAACCCTGTGAGGTTCCACAGCTAGGGTCTAGAGAGGGTAAGGGTGCACATAATTTACTCCTACCTACAAAGGGTAGAGAGGTTGTTTCTCATATACTCCCGGCTCCCAACAAATGAAATACTCCATTTGTCTCAAAAAGACCTGCACGTTTTCTTTTTTGGTCCCTCCCAAAAAGATGTGTTTGTTTCTATATCTGGAAAGTTTTAGGTGGCTCAATCTTCATAATTATTAGACTACATAAGTTTCACTATACAAAAATTGTGCCAAGTCAAACTAGGCACATCTTTTAGGGATGAAGGAAGTACGTTAAAACAATCTTATAAATAAAGGTAAACATAGACAAGGACAAGAAAACGATATTCGAACACCAAACAAAAACAGTAAAAGAACCCCCTGGATCTAGTTACCTCGAGGAACCCTACCACCTACTCGACCTCTAGATTCTCATATCTAACGTTATGTCTTAGCCTCTTAGGTGAGCTTCAAAAGCATTGAGTCTTTTCTAATCACTTCATTTGAATTCTTCCTTGATATACCTCTACCTTTCATCAAAGTCCAAATCCCTTATTGAAAAACTCTCACACATTGTAATAAGTGCATATGTATTCCTTAACATATGACCAAACCACCTCAGACTTTATTCACACATCTTATATTCCATCGAAACCAAGGCTAGAGAAAGGAGTGCAACATCGGTGGAAGTCATGGCCATCTCTGCGGGTTTTCAGTGGGCTTGGGAACAAGGAGTTCGAGAACTTGAGATTCAAACGGACGCAGGTGAGGCTGTTAAGTGGATTGCTGACAATAATTCACTTAGAGGACCTACTCGTCACATCATTGATAACATTAAGAAGTGGCAAACTAAGTATAGAAGGATCAAGATAAAGAGCATATACCGCGAACAAAATTTTGCAGCTGACCACATGGCTAGTATTGGAGCCTCTCAGTATGCTGATTGGATTGAGCATGAAGTTCCCCCACCTGGGATGGAGGACATCATTACAAGGGACAAGATAGGCGTTACCAGAATTTGCAGAGTTATTTCTCTTGAGGAGACGAGTTAGTTCGGGGTTTCCCCCCTCCCCATTTGATAAAAAAAAAAATCCCATCGATATCCCATCACTTTGTTGGTTAAACAGAATTCATCACATTAAACAAACTTTTTTTTAACAAACTACGTTAACTTATTGAAAATTTGATTTCTTTTGACAAAACAATGCTTTGTTTGGGACAAACATATTTTTTGAAGTAAGATTATATTCCTCATTGATTGGAAGGAATAACTAAGACTATTAATTACTCCGTACATAAGATCTATAATCATATCCTCCGAAAAAGGGAGCTTAGTTACCTCATGATTTCGGCGAATATTAATCGCCTTTGCTCATGGGATCTCCTACTCTATTTCCTTTCATTTTTCAAAATTAACCCTTTCACGCCATCTTGTTTTCTAACTCATTCAGAAACAGAACCTTTAAAAAACAATTCCTACCGACCACAGCTAAGTGAATTTCAGGTTTTGATGGAGTGTCTTGTTATGTCCATTGCCAATATACTTAAAAGAGACATTTTTAAAAAATGTTTTAGGTTCTGATAATTGATAAATAATGGACTAAATCAAAAGAACAAACTGGACTTCCCTTGCTTCTCAATTCTTACTTTCTATGAAGTTTTGGGGGGAAATGCAGCAACGTCTAGCATAAACAATTACTGAGTACTACTTTTTACAAGGCAAGCTTGCGTACACCCGAGACCCAAAGCAGTTAGAAGCATACTACGGAGTACTATTTGTTGGGAAATTTCCCTCCTACATGGAGGAAGTGTTCAATTTTAATTGAACAACACATTATATCTCTCTTTTGTATTTAGGCTTATTTTTGTGTGTAAAGCTTTAGCCAAATATTTTTTGGTGGCCCATCTTGTGTGGCTACTAACTAAAAGAAAAAAAAAAGAAGGGATAAGGTAGCATCTTGAGGGCAGTGGCAGTAGCTACGCAGGAGAAAAGAAGAAAAAATAGAATTCTCGCCACACTGTGCAGCAGCCCCGTTTTCTGTCCGGATCGAAGGCCAAACAAAGTCCGATCGTGCTCAAATTTTAGTCTGTTGTTCCTCACATACTCCTCTTCATATCCAACGGTCAGATTCTCATTTTGATGCCCGGAAGGCTGTTTTCTAGCTGCGTTTCAGACCTGCGTTTTTTGGGGAGTTTTTACTCCATTTTATGGTGAATTGTTGATTGCTGTTGTTCCAAGGTTGCTCCTTGATGATTGTGTATGCCTCTAGTGTTTATGAAAGAATTATTTTGGAGGAAATTTTCTGAATTACTCTCTTGTGAAACTTGTTCCGAATACAAAGATCTAACCCTCTTTATATAGGAAGAGGGTAAAGTAAATAAGGAAATTTCTATTCCTACTAAAATAAGAATTAAACAAACTAGGATAGATATTAATACTAAACCAAATCAAACTAGGAAAGATACTAAACCTAATTCCAAAGGGATTCGGTTTCCTTCTTCAATCCTGCTTCCTTCTTCAATCTTGTTTCCTTCTTTTATCTCTAACACCCCCCCTCAAGCTGGAGCATGGGAGTTCAACATGCCCAGCTTGGACATAAAAAAAAACGTTCCTTCAATTCGGTCTGTGCATCTGCACAAGCTTCTCCGACAGGTCCCACGTGCAATTCCTACACGTACAAATTGGGATCTGCTCCAAACCTGCAAGAAACGTTCCCTCGGTTCGCGCATCTGCGCAAGCTTCTCTGGCAGGTCCCACGTGCAATTCTTACACGTACAAATTGGGAACTGCTTCAAACCTGAAAGAAACGTTCTCTCGGTTCGTGCATCTGCGCAAGCTTCTCCAGCAGGTCCCACGTGCAATTCCTACACGTAGAAATTGGGAACTGCTCCAAACTACAGAAACTGAGCAACGACCGATGGACGCGATGCCGGGCGATCGTGAACAGTAACCGTGTTCAAGAGAAACTGCTGTCAGGACGGTCGACCGACTCGACCGTTCTTCAGCAACGGTCGACCGTTCTGGCACTTCAGCAACAACAACAGGCGACGATCGATGGATTCGATGCCGGTCGATCGGGAACAGTAGACGCGAAAAGAGTTGTTTGTCTCTGTAGAACAACCCTTGTCTGACCACTTCTTCAAGAATGAGGGAGGACAATAAAAAAATCACAATATCCCGCCGGTAGGCATTGAATTGTTTATGCCCACCGGCAGGGGAAGAAGCGTGTTTGAGGTCTCAAGAATTCAATACTAGCTCTGATACCATGAAAGAATTATTTTAGAGGAAATTTTCTAAATTACTCTCTTGTGAAACTTGTTCCGAATACAAAGATCTAACCCTCTTTATATAGGAAGAGGGTAAAGTAAATAAGGAAATTTCTATTCCTACTAAAATAAGAATTAAACAAACTAGGAAAGATATTAATACTAAACCAAATCAAACTAGGAAAGATACTAAACCTAATTCCAAAGGGATTCGGTTTCCTTCTTCAATCCTGCTTCCTTCTTCAATCTTGTTTCCTTCTTTTATCTCTAACAGTTTACTAGAGAGGAGAACTTGTTGTACCCACTTGATTCTTGGTGATTAGTGGAAGTTTGGGAGCCGTTGTTGAGCGGCCGTGGTTCTCTCCTCGATTTGGGGTTTCCACGTAAATCGTGTGTTCTTTACTTTATTTCGCTGCCATTTATTTGTGGTGCTGCTGCTGTTTTTTGGAGTATATTGTGCTTTGTTGTTCATCTCATTAATTTGGGGAAAAGATTTTATACGCTTCCGTTGTGTTTTGTTCCGTGCTTCCCCAACAAAGTGGTATCAGAGCTTGATTATTTTTGGTTGGCTTCTTGTGTTGTTTATGATGGATGACAAAGTGATTGTTCAAGGAATGGTTAGTTTGGACTCTACGAATTATTCAATTTGGAAAATTCAAATTGAGGATTATTTATGCTCTAAAGATTTGCTTGACCCAATTTTGTATAAAGAACGTCCAACAGGTGTTGATGAGAAAGCTTGGACTACCTTGAACCGGAAAGCTATTGCATCAATCCGACAATATGTTTCTTTAAGTGTGTTGCAACATGTTGCTAATGAAACCAATGCTTTTGAGATGTGGAAGAAACTTGAATCCATGTACGAGAGGAACAATGCTATGGGAAAAGCTTCTTTGATTAGGAAGCTTGTTAAATTGCAATACAAAGATGGTGATAGCATTGTGGTTCACATGAATGAGTTTCAAGGTGTGGTAAACCAACTAGCCGGAATGAAGATGAAATTGGAGGATGAACTTCAAGCTTTGTTGTTGCTTTCCTCATTGCCCGACAGTTGGGATACATTGGTGGTTTCACTTAGCAACTCTGCTCCGGATGGCAAGATGACTATGGAGATGGTCAAGGCTAGTCTTTTGAATGAAGAGGCTAGGAG